TGATATGGAACTATTTTGAAAACAAATTTTTAATAACCGTTAGTTTTTGAATGATTTAAAAAGTTTTAATTTGGCATGATTTTTATGGATGTTACAAGTTTTTCATTGTAATCACAAAGGAATTAAAAGTAGATTTATGTTATGACTAAAAATGAAAGTACATTGTTATAATCAGAATTCTTGGTGAAGTACATTATTATTTATTTAATGAACTCACCTCTTGTTGATGATTTCTATCCACCACTTAACACATCAAGGGAAAATATAAAAAACCATTGATGATGAAGGTTGAAATTAATGATTGAATGGAATAAGCTTACCAAAATCCTTTGCTTCAAATAGTCCCTAACCCTACGTAAAGTAGTGAACATTCATGCCAAAACAATCTTTGATATAGATTTTCCTTACCCTGAAAATGTTTATGTATTAAAATTTTCATCATACCATGTTATACTTTTCAAAAACTACCCAATTACAACCTTTCAGAGTGTTGGTAAAATCTTAAATAAAAAAACACAACTTAGCAAATTGAATAGATTTTACAAAGTACAATTTTGTAATATGAAAAAAAAATGAAAGAAGATTACTATAATAAACAAATAGCTAAAAATACGTTGATCATTCTAGCATTTAAACCAAAATAAAAACAAATGTTATTTTTACTATGGTTTTGATTTTTAGAGCATGTACTTACCCTTCATATCGCATTGTTCTTATGTTGCTAATGTCATAAAATTTATGATCTTCAAAAATGAGAAAATTTTGTTTCTCTACAATCTTAACAAGATACAATGACATGGACCAAAAATACAAAGAAAAATTTTCAATTTTTAAAGTAAATAAAACCATTTACATAAACTTCACAAGTCAGTTATACAAAACATGAGTATATTGTTTTCATAAAATATCAGAGTAAATCCCAAAATTTCGTAGTGGAAATCATCAGTGGATGCAATGTAATCAAGATGTCTCCTTTATATTGAAACCGGAAGTACCTGAAACATTTAACTTAAAACTTAATTACAAAGCTTAGTTAGTTCCCCAAAATACAACATACCACACAGTTAATAGGCCCCACCCTAGGGTGTGTTTCAAATTGTGTGCCTGCTATGATCCCACCATAGTCTTACACTCACTTTTATTGCTATAGCCTCACTGTAGTGTTTCCTACCATGGTCCCACCATGGCCTTCTAAACAAGTGTTGTGACCCAACCTTAGTATTTTCTACATGTTTTGTGATCCTACCAGTATTTCATGCAAAAGTCACATAGAAAATCTAACATGTCACGACACCTAGTGTCCTACATAATATAGTGAGGAAAATCACCTCACAATCCAATTTGAATACACTAAAGCTTGTACAGCCACAAAACTGATGTTACACACCACCTAAAAAACACCCAAGGTCAAACTGTCGTCTACCATCTAAAACTAGCAATTTAACTAAAAGTTAACCAGGTCAAAAGTCAACGGTCAACGTCAAATGTTAATGTCAACTCAGCAGGTTACCTCGCCACGACCAACTGTTGGACATGTCGTGGCTATTTTATGACAAAACAATCGCAACAAGCCTCTCAATCACATCATGGAAAGCATTCCACCACATTGTAGGATCCGTTCAAAACAACTTAATGGATTAAGCCCTTAATCAATTAAGCCCCAAACTCATTCCTTCCAGAGAGCTTCCTTACACTCAAATGCATCATAAAAATCCTTGATTTCTGGACATGCATGTACAGTGCATGTCATGCACTTAAGTTAGGCCAAAATGGGATGAATGGGGTTATAACCCCATGTATGAAACCATAACTTCATAAAAACTCGGATCTGGAGTATATGACCTCATTAAGAACTCAAGGATCAATAAAGTTGCAAACTTTATTAGATCCAACTATTCAAATCAACTCAAACATGAAGAAGTAAGATTAAACACTTAGATTTAGAAGGATTGCATAAAAATGGTAAGAGATTATGGACTTACAAAAGTCCATACTACGAACAAGAAGGTAGGGATGAGCTTGCTTGATGAATCCTTACACAAGAGCACATTCTTCTTTCTTCAAAGCCACAAAAACACTAAAAATAAGCTCCAAGATGAACACAAAGAGGCTAGGGTCAATTTATGGTCTTTGGAGAGTGAGAGAGGTTGAGGGTGGTCAAACCCTAGCTATCATATCCTTTAAATAGCCTAAAGCCTAAGATCTAGGGTTTTGAGCCCTAGCCATCACCACGTCGTAGCCAATATGTAACATCCCGAAATTCCAGATAAAATTTTTGTTATTAATTCTAGAAAAAAATCCCAAAATTACATAATGCGGAAAACATGGGTGGATGCGGTGTGATCATGTCGGGCCCTTCCCTTTCAAGCAGGAAGTACTTGAAACCATAACATAAACTGTAATCACAAATCTTAGTGAGTTTCCTGAAAATACCCCATACCAAAGATATCTATATATATACCAGTCAAGACCTCATTGGGTCTATTTCACCCCTTTCTATATCTTTCAACCGGTATTTGGGTATATTTCACCCCCTTCGTTCTCTTTCATTTGGTACCGAGTATATTTCTCCTCCATCGGTCCCTTTCAATCGATATTAGGTCTATTTCATCCCTTTCAACTAGCATATAATCATATAAGCAAGAGTCACATAGACAACAAGCATATACAGGTATAACATGAAATTGTCACAAAGATAACTATCATCTTACAAACATAATCCAATGGGCCGACATTAGTGCCTTCGACCCACGAGTACAGTGAATGAGCTCGCCTCAGCTTTAAGATAAACAAATCACACTCGACCTATAGAATCATAAAATTCCCACACTCAATCATAAATAATAGAACCCTAATTAGCAATTAGGTCATTTACCTAAACTAGCCTAAAGTCCAAAAGACAGTCAAGGCCCAATATGGGCCCAAATCTATAAAGGCCCAAAACCTAAAAATGACCCAACTCGAAAAGACGTGTGGTCTATCAAGTGCCTAAAAACCTAGAGTCCAAAAGTGGCCCAAAATCAAAAAAAAGTCCATTGAACAATGTACGCCCTGCATACCCGACCCATACACCCCGCGTACGTATGTTGACCCAAAAATGGGTTGCTGACCCAGTACGTGTAACGTACTAAGAAGTATGCCCAACATACTGGCCAATGATCCATTCTTCAACTTCTTGACTTAATATATTAATCCCTTAACGTCCAACCAACAGATCAACTTTATTTTAAGTTCTTAACACATAAAGTTGGCAACTTTACTCATTTGCATGTCATAATGGGACCCAATACCTGTTTTTATCCATCTAAGTCATAATATGAACACTAACTCTTGCATGGTTAATCAAAACCCATCAAGATGACACTTTTATGCACTAACAACATCAAAAATTATAGGATCTAACATTATAAGCTCCTAGAGTAGCTCATACTCACAAGTATGACTTAAGGGACCATAATATGTTAAAACAAAGCCTTAGACTAGATCTAACACATAGATTCATCAAGATAGAAGCTTTATACCTTCATATGCTAGAAAAATCGATGAAGATGCTGGATCTAAGAGCTCCACTCCAACTAACTCTTGGACACGAAGCTCCTTCTTCTTTAAAGTATACAAAAACACCAAAAGTTTACCACCAAAGCTAGAGAACACTCAAGAACAAGCTAGGGTTTCATGGGGAATCTTTAAAGGGAAGAAGGTTGATGAAGGGAAGGGTCTTGAGTCCACAATGACACTTAAATATGGACCAGAATGTAAAAATTAGGGTTTGAGTCAGGAGATCGTACGCCCAACGTACTTCCGTGTAGGAGCTAGGTTCTGCAATCAATTTAAATTAGCAACGTTGGGTGTAGCTCTCATTTACGCTCTGTATAAGGACCAAAAATGTAATAAACTTGAAAACAAAAGCCATAACTAAAAGTACCTGGAATTGGATGTTACAATTATCACCTTCTTGAATTAGAGATCGTCCTCGAAGTCCGCTGCTTCAAATAACTCTGGATAATGCTCCCTCATCTTGTCCTTAGGATCCCAAATCCACTATAAATACTTTTGGTGCTGCCACTGTACTTTCGCGAGATCCACAACCTTGTTTCGTAGAGTCTTCATTGAAGATGATAGCTGAATGTTTCAAATTAGGAGATTTGTGTAATGAGAATTTGTGTATCTTTGAAGATTAGTAACTTGCAACAAGAGCTTTGTTAAATTCCCTTTTCTTAATCTTTCCCTTGAATATCACAACAAATGGTTAATGGATGATCTCACCATCTTCGAATTTATCAATTTTCATTCTTCCTTTTAGCCATGATTAAGGTACTTTTGAAGTCTTGTTGATAACTAAGGCAAGATCAATATCAGTGATAGCCAAATACTCATATATCAATAAACGTCTTGATATGAGAAAACCTAAGAATGAAAGCATCCTTATTCATCTCTTATAATTTCGACACATCAACATTTCTCAGGATATTTGTCACCATAAAAAGATCGTTTAATTTCATTAAAGGAAAATCTGCCACTTTAAACTAGAACACCACATTAGTTTCCCTCACGACAACATAATGAAAATTTTGTAGCAATCCTTCGAACAACGTATCATTCACAATCGTCACTACTTTCATAATCTTCACTAGGGACTATACTTCATCCTCACTCTTTCCCAAAACCGCATGAAAATGAATCTTCAACTTCCTGAAATTTTCTTTATCATTAAAATCATCTGTAATATTGAACTATGGAGATGTGAATAGATTGTGATTCATTGGAAAATCAAGCTGATTGAAATTTAAATTCTTTGTATCATAGCTCTTCTTTGGTGCTTTCCTGAATTCATCATTTTTGCGACGTACTTCTATTTCAATTGTTTTATTGCACAAATGTTTGTTGGGATCTCCCTTGTTCAAGCCTGGTGGATCGTTTGCTCTTTGTCTTAAAATACTATTTATTTGCCTTTGTTTCTCTAATTCGATAGCATGTAATTTCTTCTTTTCTTCATCAGACTATAAAACTTCAATGGTTTTCCCTTTGTCTTTTAAATCATTATTAGAATTTGTTTTTACAGGAGTAGAACTCGAACCTCCTGCACCTTCATTAATCGAAATCCCTTTCGATTGGACTTTTGACTGATCAAAATTTCCTGTTGTAAAGTTTGTTTTTGATGACACAATTACATGCTTCATTGGGATTTTTGTTGGAATTTGAGTAGACATAGTCTTCCTAATAACTACTCCTTTGTCTTCACCAAAAGCATTAGATGATCCAACTTCCCTTTCTCCCCCTTGCGAAACTTGTGCAGTACATTGAGCATTTGTTGGTAATGGAATCACCAAATTGAGGATTGGATCCAACTCAGCTTTAATGCTCGACTCAATATTCGAAACCATTTTGGAAATGGATTCTTGAGAAATAGAAGATTGATTTGAAAGATCCACTTTTGATAAAGTATCTTTAATACCGGATAAAAACTCCTCAACTTTCTCAAACACCTTATCATCTTTCTCATACTTGTCTTTGAGATCTTTAGAATAATCCTTGTTAAGTTCAACCAAACGAGTTGTTGCACCAGCTATAACATCAACTTTTTATGCAACAAATTGTAATTATCCTCCAACTTCTTAACTTCTTTCTACATCAAGGTTTGAAACTCAGTAACCTTGAGGTCAAGAGATACTTTTGTTTCAGTTGCCTTTTCCATATAGATTTCATGATGTGATTTAGCAACACCATGAAGCTTGGTAATCTCTAAATTAAAACTTCGAGAACGAGTATCCAATCTCTCTTCATGTTTCTTATCAACCTCCCCAATCAAAGTTCGCAATTGAGACTCTTGATCTTTCAACAAATAATCAAATTCAACCCTAGTGACATAATTCTTCCCTCAAGTATCTACCATAAATTGAAGAAGAAAGTTCATTTTGGAGTTAAGAATCTTGAATTGCTTACCTGACATGATTATGGAATTAGGTATATCTTCTTCTTCTGGATTGAACTGAAGTTCTGAAAATGAAACCATCACATTTTCATCATTAGCTTCTTCTCCTTGAATTAACTTCTCAACCTCATTTGATTATGAAGAGAACAGAGTGGTGATTGGTTCTTTCATAACACCATCAAAGTTTGGTGACAAATTGGTAACATGAATTGAAGAAGTAATTGGTGATGTTGGTGGTGGTAGAGTAGTTGATACTTCAGTTGTGGTCAAAGCTATTATGGTGTCGACTATTTTCATCCCTTCATCCATGTTGACATTTATATCCTTATCAGATAAGTGGATATTGATGTTTGGAGTTTCAACCTCCTCCATAATGGACTTCGTATGCGAAACACCGGATGGTATGATTATAACCTTATCATAGATGGTTATGGGTTGTTGTTCACCATAATCGATCTTTACACCCATATCAGATACATATGTAGTGACATCAGGAATCCTTGTCTCCATGAAAATCGACTTGACAGGGGTATCCTTTCATGGTGATACATAAAAAGAATCCTTAATTCGAGTGTTTGACCCATCGCTGTCACTATCATTCTCAGTATCGAAATTTACTTTCTCAAAATGAACTTCATTTTGATCATGCTTTCTCTTCTTGAACCTTTGCGCAACATCTAAAGCTCAATGCTTCTTTGACGCTGGAGATTCATGACTCAAAACCTCATGTAAAATATCTCCCCTTCTGGTAAATTATAATTTCTTAAACCTTTTAGAAAGACCAGTTTCACAACTGGTTCACTTTCTTGTGTGATTGTAGCTATACTAGAAACATGATCACAAGTTTCAACAACTATTGGCTCAGTAGTTTCGACAACTAGCTCTTGAGTAAGGTTCATAGTTGCAGAATCAAAAAATTTCTTAGTTGGTTTCTTCGTTCGTTTGATTACCCCTTTACCAGTCTTCGTGGGTATTATTTTTTTTTAACAAATTCCTCCTCCACTTCTATTGGCTTTTCTGCATGTTTCTTAGTCTTTTGAGCCTCAGATCCATTTGATGTTCCTTCTACCCCTTTTTGAGAACCTTTTGTGGAAGAACACCAGTTGGAGTAGAATTGATATAAGCAAAATATTGCACCAACAATTGATTTTAGGGTCCACTAATTTTGCATCAAATCAGGGATTCGAGCAACACCATGAAATATTACAACATCATCCACGTTAATCTTTGGAACTATCATCGTAGGAAAATCACCGGTATCAACACCTGATGTAACAAGAATATTTTCCAGACTATAGATTTCCTTCAAAATCAACCCCCAAAACCTAGCACTCGACACCCAAGTCACTATCCTGGAATGAGAAACTAAAGTTCGAAATTCTTCCCACAACAATAAAACATAGTCGACATTAAGACCATACTACAGACCAGCCACAACCGAATAAAACTCAAGCTTAGCTTTATTTAGTCCATAACTCCTCCCTATCAAACACCTTAACAAAATTCCAAACAGGAAACTCTAGATAAAGGGTAGGCTTGACTTCTTAAACGAACTGATATTCACACGAGTGGGTTGATCCCCAGAAAACTCTCTTTAATCGGAAGTTGTAAGTCATAAAACCGCTAGACCTCATTACACGGCCCGTGTAACGTAATCCTTTCCATTACACTTCCGTGTAATGGTCTTGATGTGTTGCATTTTAGTGTAATTTTGCACGCATAACGTATGCCTTGCTAAAGCACGATCCGTGTAATAAACTACACAGCGTCCATTTTCCGATTTTCCAAATTCTTCAATTTAGCTCGAAAAATTCCAAAACTTCACCGAGGGCTTCCCTCAAACATCCTAAGCATGTATCACCTTGAAACATCCACAATAAATGGTGAAAAGTATATAGATCGTCGATAATGTCCGAAAATGCAAATGCATGTAAAATTACACTAAAATGCAATCAAATGTTATAAATAAACATGAGATAAACATGTGAAAAGGTGCAATTTATGCACCTAACAAATTGTTTCTAAATAAGGTGTCAACTAGAATAAACTTTGATAAAATACGGATTAGTGGTGAATCCATTCTTCATCGAGTTTGTGATGTCTAAAGTGAGACAATTGATCTTTTTTTACCACTACACCATCTCTTCATCTATTTAGAACCAAACAACAAGATGATGGGATATTGATATCCATCTCTTTACTACAACATCAGATTGTTGGGCGAATCATGTAAAAGCAATTGGAAGATATAAAAATTGGATTTAGGTTTGAAAAAATAAAGATTGTGAAGTTTTATTTATAGGTACAAAAGAATATAAATACATATATATATATATATATATATATATATATATATATATATATATATATATATATATATATATGTTTAGGTTAATGTGAAACGACCTAATTTTGTAAGACTGTGAGACGCAATCTTAACCATTCATTTGGTAGATAAACAAAAAACATTTTTAAAATACAAAATAATTGAAAATTTTCGAATTTTTTTTTCAAATATTATTTTCAGAATTTACATTTACCAAAAAAAAATACCAAAAAAATATAAAAAAAATATTTTTTTTACAAATTCTAGTAGAATAAATAGAATATTTTACATATATGAGAAATATAATATAATATTCTAACATTCTAAAAATCACATTATAATATTTACAGTTTAATATTCTATTAGAATATTTAACGTATTTTTAAAAAAATGTTAATTTATTTTATTTTATTTTTTTATTTTTTTTAGGTAATTAAAGTTCCGAAATTAATAATAAATTTGTTTTTTGGATTTTTCTTTTTATTTTGCATTTTATAATAATTTTTAGATTTTGTCTGACGGTCTCACAAAATTAGCATGGTCTCAAATGAACCTCTCTCTCTCTCTCTCTCTATATATATATATATATATATATATATATATATATATATATATATATATATATATATATATATATATATATATATATATGTATCGAATATTTGATGGTTCAAGGTCTAAGGAAACAAAAAGAGAGAGAGAGAGAGAGAGAGAGAGAGAGAGAGAGAGAGAGAGAGGGTGTGGCGAGATCGTACCATGTGTGGTCAAACCGTGCCCCAAATTGCATGATGTGGACTAATGTTCCCCTTTGACACCGTGACAGAAATGCGATAGAACCATAACCACTTCCTTGGGTTTAATATCATATTCAAACTTTTCTTTTATTAATTTACTAGTTTATAACCTGTGGAAACCATGGTTACAAAATTAATTAAATTTTTATAGTAAAAATTCATAAATTATTTATCAATTACTTTAAATAAATCATTAAATATGAGATATACAAAATTTTAAAGTTATTATAATTTCAAATTTAACATATAATTAAAAAAACTAAAATTTAAATTTTTAAGTGTTGCCTAATATATTTCTTTAACATGTCGCATGATATTAATGAAGAGTTGTATTAATGTGACATGTCAAATGGAAATTAAGAGTATTCATTTATTAGAATAGGGATTTAGCTAGATTTTTTAAATAGTATTTATCAATATAACATAAAAATATTAATTTGTAACTTTATACTTCAATATATTTTCCCATATGATCCTCTCAGCTCTATTCGTATTACATATTTTTTTCGTTATTAATGCGAATCCAACTCTTTGTTACTATATATTACAAAGAATATAATAGCAAATTCTACCAAACACCCAATACCCAGATACAACCACAACTTTCTGTAAATGCACATTCAAACATTGACAAATAGTTAAATAATCAAGCATGCATGTGCATTTATGCATACACACTGTTTATCCAGATCATGTCATAAACAAATGGTTATAGCATGCAATAGATCATCCAATCGAATCTTGCTGCATATTTGCAGACATTACATTGTAGAAAACACAAAAAATGGACATGTTGGTGGTGATTATTGGGTGGTTTTTAAATCCAGAACTGCCGTGGCTACTGCAAGTACAGATTATGTTGTTTTGCCGGTGGTTCTGGGTACTCATGAACATGCAACCGATTGAATTCTCTAATAAATTGTGTGAATCTGTTAAATCCATTGGTCTATATAATACTATCATTATATATTATTGGTGCTTCTACTTGATCCTATTTTGATGTTTTTTTACTTAACCATAACATGATTTTGCTATTTTTTTTTTCGGTTAAGTTTTGTACGTGTAAAAATAGTTGTAAAGTGACCGAGTTTTGTACGTGTAAAATAGTTGTAAAGTGACCGAATTGGGAACGAGTTTGGATATATGTTGTGCACATAAGGTGTGTATTTTTCTTTTATATGATGTATGAACCATATTTTACTCTTATATTTCATAAAAACTTGATAATAATCAATTTTAAACGATATTTATCAATTTAAAAATAAGAAGAGTTAAGATTAAGTAGAGAAAACAAATGCCAAGGGTTAATGCACTAATACAGTAAACTAGGTGTGTTTATTTATTTTTCTATTTGTTTTTATTTTTTTTAGCTTAACATATTAAATCGTTCTCCTTTAGATTAAGTCCAAAAGAAACACTTCACTACTAAAAGAAACACGCCTTTTCCAAAGTACAGTTTTCTCGGAAATTCCAAGGTAACAATGTTCCCGTAGAAATACAGAGGAAAATTTGTGCGTAGGAAAAACCCTCATGGGAAACTTTTTGTGAGGGATTTTCGAGGAAAACTCAGAGGCATTTCCGAGGAGATATGTGTTCTCAGAAGTCCAGAGAAATTTCTGAGACTATGTTTTTCCAAAATGTATTCTAGAAAATATATTTCCAAAGAATTTCCTAGGAAATACATTTCCGAGAAATTTCATAGGAAATACATTTCCGAGAAATTTCATAGGAAATATATTTCTGATGAATTTCATAGGAAATGTTTTTCCAAGGAATTTCCTAGCAAATATATTTTCGAGAAATTTCCCACGACCATATATTTCCGAAGAATTTTGTGACATTGTGGTAACAGTGAGGCCCTAGGAATTTCCTAGGAAATGTGCAACTTTACAAAAAAAACTAAAATGTTACAAAATTTTATTGACGAAAATGCAATTTTTTTTAATACAAATGAACAAATTTTATTTGAAATTTATACACAAAAACAACAAATCACTAAATATTATAAATTACAGCATAACTTTTAACAATCGTCTAAGCCACAAAAAATAATAAAATTGTCTAAAAAAATTTACAAATATTTACTAAAATAACTTAAAATGCATTTGGTTATTGGATAGATTGTTGGGAGGGTTATTACGTATGCATCTCATGATTTCGACCATTTTTTTTTTTGTTTTTCGGTCATTTCTTGATGATTATGGTCCAACTCCGTAACCTAAAAAAATATTAAAACAAACATACATATATTAGTAAACCCAAAAATAATACAATATATATATATATATATATATATATATATATATATATATATATATATATATATATATATATATATATATATATATATATATATATATATAAAAGATCAAAAGGTGTGGGTGAGAAATTTCTTTCACCATAACACCCTTTCCTTCACCTAAACCCAATGAATAGGTGAGAAACTTTCCTTATTATTTTGTTTTTTTATTTTTTTAAATAAAATTAATTCTTTTTTATGATTTATAAATTTTAAATTAATAATAAACATAAAATTTAAATAAAATTAAAAAACATTTCATTAATTAAAATAAAAGTTACATTAAACTTAATATTTAAATAAATAGAAAATTAAAAAAACAATGCAAACAAAAAATCAAACAAACTACGATATAGAAAACATAATTAATATCCTAATTAAAAAAACAAAATACGTCACTCGGAATCATCGTCCTCGTCATCGACCTCATCGTCTTCATCATTCTCCTGAACGTCACTCTCGTCATCGGAATCTTCGTTC